AGGCATCAAGATGCCATTTCGATATCGGAAGCTCAGTGATATGATTACGAACTCAGGGGATGCATCTCATTCCTGGATTCGCCCTGTATGAGTGACGACATGATGGGGCGTGTTGGCCGGGCGACCTAAGAGCCGCGAGCTAGTTAGGTATCCACGTGCCGAAACCCCGCCATGGCTCAAAGCTGTTACGAACGAAGTATGGTCAGAGTTAACAATGCATATTGCTTCGAACTTGGTTTTACGGGGGTTAATTTTTTTTTTACTTGGTTTTTTTCAGAGCTCGACGATAATACACATGGCTGTAAGATAACCGAGTACTAGGGTAAACTTATTAAATGTAATCATCTAGACATGAGCCATCCAAGACCTGCTGACTAAAATCCACAGCATCTCTCAAGTTCCATGCCGACTCCAAACCATCCTCATATTCCATATTTCTCATTGAAATCGTCACAACTAACTATCGAAAATAAATTGCCCTAAAAAAAAGGACGTAACGTCAACATCCACGCCCGACATGGCATCACCCACGGCATCCAATCTCTTTACCTTACAGATCCTCTCCCCATCTCAAATCGCTTCCCACACATTTACCAAACCATCCAAACTCATCAACGAAGGCCACCACGTCCACCACTTCCTCACAACCACAGCCTACACCGACATTGGCACCTTCATCCTCCAGCTCAACCATGCCTTATGCCCTCGAACACAGCCCTCCTCCCCTTCAGCACTCGTCTTCCCCCTCGTCCCAGGCTCCTCATCCTCTATTCCCTCTATCCAGGCGCTCCAAGCACTTCTATCTAGCATAGAGGCTCTTATTGAGCAAGCTCCACCAGATCCGGGCCCCCGGCGCTTCGGGAACATCAGTTTCCGGGCATGGTTCGCCTTGGTGGAGGAGAAACTCGACACTCTCCTAGGACAGGGTATTCTCGGTGAAGCACTTTCAATCAAAGGAAGCAATCTTGTTACGGCCAGGGACGAAGTACACAGCTACTTGTTAGGCTCATTCGGAAGCGCCCAGAGGTTGGACTACGGAACAGGCCATGAATTGAGCTTCGTTGCATTTCTGGGATGTCTTTGGAAGTTGGCGTACTTCACAGATGGCAAGCAAAGTCCTGATATTGAGAGGGAGATAGTCCTCAATGTGATTGAGCCGTGAGTTTTTCTTGCCCTCCCAGCACCCCATTGTGTCGCATCAAGTTTAAGGCTAAGTTTTCGTAGATATCTCAAAGTCGTTCGGAAACTCATCCTCACCTACACCCTCGAACCCGCTGGCTCTCATGGCGTCTGGGGTCTCGACGACCACTCATTTGTCCCCTACATCTTCGGATCCGCCCAACTCACCCGCCCCATCTCCTCTGATACAGAACCGATGCCACTCGAAGGCTCTGTAGAAGGTGCGATTAAACCCTCGGATGTGACGAAACCTGCCGTTGTAGAAGATCAGCGCCAGACCAACATGTACTTTTCCGCCATTGGTTTTATCAATGATGTGAAAAAAGCACCGTTCTGGGAACATTCGCCTATGCTATTTGACATCTCCGGTATTCGATTCGGCTGGGGCAAGATCAACAAGGGCATGATCAAAATGTTCAATGCGGAGGTGCTCTCAAAATTTCCAGTGGTGCAGCATTTTCCATTTGGATCGTTGTTTTCGTGGGATGTTGATCCCAGTGCAACTCCCCCTACACAAAGCGTTCACATAACAAATCAGCCTTTAACGACAGCAGTATCAACTGGAGCAGGACAATCTGGAGTGTCTTTGCCATCTGTCACTGGCACGGCGGCACCATGGACGCAAGGTACTAGGATGCCGCCTCTCTCTGGCTCTGGGACCCCGCATTCTAGAGTGCCACCAGGTCCTAGTACAGGCTCTCTAGCGTCGCGACAATCCCGAGGCGAAGGCCCAGGATCGGGAAGCACTGCGCCGCAAATGACGATCACGAAGGCGCCATGGGCATAAAGATGAGCTTCCATTGTGGAAGCTGGACAGTCTGGGATACATCTCAAGACACCGGGAAAATCTGGTCATGGAGCGAAGTTATATGACGTGGACGGAGTGTTCAAAAGAGATTGCGCACAGACTACCGCTTGATTTGCGTGGATAGCACGATGTCAGAACTGCTTAGACCATTATAACAATAGACCCAAATGATGGAGAGACTAAACAACGCACGCACATACGATGATCGTGAGGCGTGGGGTATAAGTTGCAAGCCCCAGAATATATCGCAAGCCTCCCTCCTCCCCTGTGAGTATCCAGCGCTCCAACAAACGCAACAATGAACCAACCAATGCACTCTGATGCAAACACAACAAGACCCCGGATAGACGGTCCTCAAAACGACACCGGCGATTAGATGTTATCCGTAACCAAGCCAACAGGAACATAGCAAAGTCTAGTGCATAGCTTTGCGCAACAGGCCATGACACCTACGGCGGCATTTAAGTGGAGGTGGCAGGGCTTGACTCAGCAGCCGGAGCGGCGGCAGCAGGCGTTGTGGTCTTAGCAGGTGCAACTGCAGTTGTTGGCTCAGGCAGGACAGGTGCGGCAGCGGCAACCGGGGCTGGATGCCTCGTTAGGATGGAGCGTGATCTCTACAAATTGTTTGATGCGTCACTTACCGGGAGCAGCGGCTTCAGATTTAGTAGCTTGGGTTGCAGCGGCTGGCGGTTTAGCTTCGGTTTGCGGAGGGGTCTGGATCTTGGCCTCTCCCTTGGGAGCTCCAGTAGCAGGGGTAGCTCCAGCTGAAAGACGAAATTAGCCCACAAAACCCGAATAGATGAAGTAAAGACGAGAATTAATAATAAAGGTGAATGAAGGCGCAGTATGAATCTTACAGGCAGGAGCTGCTGGAGCGGATGGCTTGGTCTCAGTCGCGCCGCTGGTGACGGTTGTCGTTGTAGCAGGAGCTGCAGCGGCAGTCGCGGCAGCCTCAGTGGGCTTGGTGGTGTCGGCTGCATTGTCAACAGCTTCGGCAGGTTTCGCGGCACCGGTCTTTTTCTCTCCCTTTTTCTTGAAGGCAGCTTTAAGCTTGGCCTTGAGGTTGTCAAGAGCGTGAAGAGCTGAAGATAAGAGCAAGGTGTTAGCCCAAGTTTGCTAATGGAAGCCGTTGAGATGGCTTCACACAAAGACGACGTGAGTGAAGATCTGGACTGGGGGGCAGAAGAACATACGTATGCCAGGCATTTTGAAAGTTAGATTGGGGTCGAGAAAAAAGTTACCACCAGCGTGACTTGCAGTATTTTGGAGTGTTCCTCTAGCCAAGCAAATAGAGTCAGCAAAACCTGGTCGATAGGGATACGGTATTCACAAGCTGCATGCACCAGCTCAGTCCCAAAGCTTTAGCTTAAGGATGAAGAGTCCACAAATATTGAGGGCTAGGGGAGATGGGGATGCATGTAGATACCTCGCAAAGGATGTAACAAGCAGATAAGCTTGGAAGAAAACGATGCTTGGTGATCGATGAGAAACGGATACGAGTGCAGTTGAAGATGGTGAAAGATGAAAGGGGAAAAATCGAAGAGAACAATAGAAGAGGAGGGGAACAGCAAGCAATTAAGCAAGCAAAGCAAGCAAGCAAGCAAGCAGTCAAGAAGGAGGGGACTGGGCTGGACTGGCGCAGGTCAACCAGACAGCAGGAGTGGACAAGGGAGCAACGTCTCAGCTTGTCATCAGTGCAAGCTCAATCTGGGGAAAGCTCAATGGTGGGAACCAGCGGACTGGCTGTCTAGCTGCCAGGCTGTCCAACGTGACCACCATGATTACAATTAATGTAGTGCGGCCATCTGGACTAACCAGCCACGCCTTCTTGGCTTTGCATATTGCCGTCATGAGCATCCCAGCTGCATCATCTTTTCTCAAGCTCCGCTCGGAGCAGCAGGTGGTTCTCATTTGACTTGATGTTGTGTGCATGAAGGTTCATGTAGTCGCCCGGTGCAGGTACATGACCAGCGCAAGTACAGCGTACTTACTCCATGTGCTTGACACTGCTTCCTATAACTGCCTACTAGGTAAGTACGGAGTACTCCGCATAACCGTTCAGATAAGCTCGCTCCGCCAGTACCTACAAGTACCCTGGTGTTGGAGTGCTCAGTGCCCCGTTGCCCCGTACTTGGGCCGATGCAGCAAGATGCCAAAGACATCATGCCACCGCATTCATTTCCCCTGGTCTGCAGAATGGTGGGGTTGGGCCATGCGGGAGGAACAGTGGCTGGGCATGTGCGCCTTAAACCTCCTTGCTGGTTTATTCTCGATGAACGTGTGAACAGGGAGCATTTTCGTCTTTGGGCCGGCATGCCGTTAAATTTGTCTGTGTGTCTATGAACTGGGAAGTTCTATGATTGTAAAACTATCGTGAGAGCAGATCGAGACTGAGCAAAGCCGGTGGCATTCCATACCAACACGACGTTATTAGTCCAGGGCACCCACGTTTTCAAGAGCGGCACCTGAGCCGCTAAAAAGACGAGCCGTTGAAGGTGGGCCCGCCGCGGACAGCGTTGCCACTTCATTGAAAAGACGGACCAGCCAACGAGCTGCTTCAAACGATGGTTTCCTGGCACATAATCCTTACAGGCTGCACCTTTTGAGACTAAACTCCCGACTCCTAAATTTGGTTGAATGCATTGCCAGGGTCGCTTCCGTACTTGTTTCAGTCATTGATTCAAAGGGTAATGATGCTCGTTTTTGTACAGAGTACTTGTAGTGTAGTTAAGGTCGAGAGGCCGCCAACCGTCATGCGTCGCAGTAATTTCGAGGTCTCCAGGCTCAGCGAACGCATGCGTTTGGTTTGTCGTGGCATAATAATGAAAGGATCAGCACCCTACATGAGCAGCTCTTTCCATGACTAGTTGCTTAGTTGTTTCCGCGCGCGTGCACCTGCTACAACCGTTCACAAATGATAAGTGAAGAACAACGTACAAGCACAGTAGAACCATCTGGTATGACATAAGCCATGTATAAGTAGCATTAATGCTTTCAAACCCCACAGATAAGCGGCCGAATGGTCTAGTGGTATGATTCTTGCTTTGGGATTGCATATGCTCAACTGCAAGAGGCCCCGGGTTCGAATCCCGGTTCGGCCCTTCTTTTTCTTTTTGTTTCATCTCTTTTCCCTGAGTGCCGCAGAAGATTTCCTGTTTCGGGCTTTAAAACATAAAAAGGCTTGATTTCGAGTGAAAACGGGGTTTTTTTTTTTCATCTTGATACTATTGAAAGGCATCCGGCTACGAAGATACTAGGTACAGGGTGAAGCGGGCAATGTGGTTGTACTTGTATAGCAGGAAGAACGATTCAATTCTGTGGGGGGGTATCGAGAGGCATATTGGTGACAGGAGATGTTAGGGTGGGAAGCTGATATGCTGGTGTTTAGTGGATGTGGGTAGGTCAACCGTTCAGGGATACTTCCAGGCCGGTACCGGACACGTTAACATCGCCTACTCGAATTTAGTTTGTTTCCTTGGAAAGAGCCGTTGTCAATAGTGCGGTTATAAACATTACGTGACCGAGATCGGCTGAGTCTAGATATTGTGGGAAGTTGGTAGAGTTAGTGGGTTTAAGTGTGATGGAGTTCCGGCGCGGGAGATCACAACGCCCGCAAAACTTGAAGAGAACGTCGACAGTCATCTGATCAACGTCCTTAAATTCAACATCTTTAATAAAACCTTGCTCGACTTGGCATTTGCTAGTAACGAATCCGCCGCTGTCCCTGCCCCTATAACACTGCATTCACTTAATAGGGCCAAGATGCTTTTAGAGGATCTCGTGTAGGATCTGTGGTGTCGATGTATACTTTACGGAAGAAACAAGCTTATTAATCAAGCAGCAAGCCCTCTTGTTTATCCATTAATGAGCGCAAGTCAAAGTAGTTTCTTTCACATCTGGGACGAGCACTTTAAACTCATTTCAGTTTCGGAAAGCAAGTTGTCAGCAAAAGCCACGTGCGGAAGTGAGTCTAGCATTCCCAATCTGTCCTTCGAGTTCCTTCTACCAGACTACTTCTTCCACCATCCTACCTTATTCATGAGCTCGACGAGCTTGGGGATTTTATGGCTTTAAACGGCATTTTCTAGGAGAGGAAGAGGAAGAGGAAACAATACAAACGAAGAAGGAGGAACCGGGAGATGAGGGGAAGGCGGCAGCGGCTGCGGCAAAAGACGACGAGGAATGAATTGGGGAGGGAAGGCGGCTGTGCGGCGGCGGCGGCGGGGGAGGTTGGTTTCGTCGCTAAACCACGGACTTCATCATGAGCTCGGGGATTGGTGATGATGGTTTTAGAGACTTCTTGGGTTCTGGGATTAGTGCATCGTGAAATAAGCAAGACAGAGCAAGTCTTTTTTGATTACGTATATTCCTAGTGGAGAGTAGGAGGTAAAGTCGTCTGATCCAGCAGAAGGAGCCGTCCTTTCCCAGGTGGCAAGTGTTGCGCATCTTTAGGCAGGAAATAATGTTTAGCTGACGTAGCTCCCCACATAGACATCTCGTAGCATCAATCCAGCTCAAGTGGTTTGTGGAGGGTTTAATCTTGAGCATAGGATCCTAATTATTTATGCGAGGTCTAGGCTCTGTGAAACCTGTACTTTACATTCAAGGGCTGCAAGTTGCCAGAATAGACTGGCATCAGATATTACTGCAATAATACAGTCAATGAGTAGAGAGGTTCAAGTTACGAATGGGGCTATGGAGGTGGTGACATTGCGTCTATGACGTCTAGCTGCATCGTCTTTGACGGCTTGCTGCATCGTCTTAAGTACTAATAGGTACATGACAACTACCGCACATCGTTGGGAAGGAAAGAAAGAGTGCCTGTAACCAATTTGCATTTGTACCTAAAAGTTGGTTTAAAACGATATATACTACGCCGTAGACAAAATGTACATGAATTATATATTGTATTGAATACAAGCCATTTATGTTCAATTCAAGTGGCTTTTCTGGCGAGGAGAGAGTGTAACAAGCCGCTGGAGCTGCACGTTATATAGTAGACTGAATGCTGTGTGCCGGTTCTCGCACACACGCACTAAAACGGGGGCAATTGGCCCGCCGAGTGTTTGATCGTATCTGTTTTGAACATAATGGAGGTAATATGTCCTCGTAGCTTATCTGAGCTCTGCTTCCATGATTTGAATCGTCTTGTGAGTGGCTTGGGTACCTTCTGTGCTTATACCGTGGACTGCAAAGGCCTGCTTCCGATAGCCAATTGAGAAGCTGTTTCATAATGGTGATATTGCCGTCCGTAGATTCTCCTAAATTTTGTTCTCCATCCAAGATGCAACTGCATCGTTACCAGCTTCGGTCAACTCTATGCTGTCTCCTCCCGGTCCGATGTCTATTACCTGAACTCTTCGTACGGCTTCGTCGGCTCGGTCGACTATGTCCTCGTCCCATTTGCTTCGCTCCTTCAATTCCACCACATCAATGCTTCTGCGCATTAGCTCAGCGAGTTCCATGGCTTGTGTCTTGAAGCTGTGACCTCCAGACTGAGCTTGCTTCCCCTTTCGTTTCCCCTTCGACTCTATAGACGGATTAATAGCCGGTGGCTTCGCCGAGTCAAACAAAAGAAGCGTCTCCGGTATCTTTAGTGTTGACTTTCTGGGTGGGAAAACCAGATGTGACTTGCGTGGCACCTTGACAGGCTGATCTGGAGACCCCTTACTGCTGGTCATACCGTCAATAAGTGCAGCATGCTCTACCGACATGAAGAATGACTGTGGAACTAGCAGACCAGGACTATGAAAGAAAAGGCTTGGGCTTGCAAATGGATCAAATAGGTTGGATGGCTTGTCGAACAGGACCGGCATATGATCTTGTAACTTATGTAGGTGAGAGCTTTCATCTGGTCCAGGGGGCAGGGTCGCGCTCTTCGTTCTCTTTGACGCTTTGTTTATTCGATGGTCAGGGAGGAACATTGTCCAGTTGTATATCCCGTTATATGCCACAAAACCCCGTACACCAAACCTGGCGTGTGAATGGGCTTCCGTAAGTGCCAAAGACGTCGCTAAACTGGCTCCTAAATATGACCCGTATATGTAAATATCACGGCGGCTGTTTCCTGGCGGCGGCAGGTTTTCAATAAGCCAGGAAAAGGCAAATGAGGTGTCATGAACCGGTGTCGGCCAATGCAGTGGCGCTGAATGCTTTGCTTGGCCTGAGTTTTCCGAGAATGGGCGCCAGCGATAGTTTATGCTCGCAACTGGGCGGTTCTGGAGAAATGATGGCAGTTGAGGCGTGGAGTCATTTTGTGAAGGGAAAGGGGGCAGGTGTATCAGTAGTGGATCATCCACAGAGGAGCAGTTGAGTACATTGAACAAACTAAGGCAACGAAAGTTTGTCAGTTCCGGCTTTTATGCATTCCCTAGATACAAATACCCAGCCAAAAGATACTTACTCAATAGTTACATGGCCGGCAGAGCCGCACTTCACGTCCACCTTCTCTGATACAGCTGTGCTGAATGGTCTTCGAGTCAGGCTATGAAGCTGCGGCCAGAATATCCTATGCAGCTGGCGCATGACGATATTTGTGTGACAAACCCTTCAAGGAGCAAGCCGAGTGACAGCCTCTGGGACAAAGCTTTTAAGACGGTCGCCATGAGGAACTAGGTTGCATCAAATTAGCCCTGAGTTCATCTTTCAATGGCTGACGGATCTGCACGTACTGGTTGAAGACTCGGGACACGACAACGAGACCTTGCTCTAGACCTCGCCAACTGAACTACCCACCCGCCAGACAAGCCAGACAAATACGCGTCAAAGTCGACGCACATGCGAACCGCACCGGTTTAATCTGCAGTGCTTGATGAACAAATGGAGGTTGACGGAGAGTGGGTCTTTGGCTTTCGTATCCTGCTATCTCCTCTAGCTGGTTGGCTTGACTTGGCTTTGCTTCGGCACCATTGACGCAGCTTGCAGCACGCAGGCCCTGGGCATCTGCACTAAAACCCCCACCGTGGCTCAGGGATCGTGCACCAAGACACCAAGACCCCAAGACCCCGCTAAAGGCTTGTCTCGAGAAGAGCTAGTCGTTCCAGCCCCAACGTCTGGCGGTTCATCTGCTCTCATCTGCTCGACAGGTGACAGCCCTGGTGCCAAGTTTTTAGCGGACGATGGCAGATCGACTGCCAGGGCCGACGTCAATGGCGCCTTCTTGTCCCAATCCGACAACACCGTGGTCCGCCTCCCGTCTTCTCTCGTCTGGTGGACTGAGGCTGGAAAGAGGAGCGTCAAGTATTGGGAAGCCATTCTTTTCTGCTTTCAAACGTTCCATCTTCACTGCCATCTATCATCATTTCCCTTCTTTTTGCTACGAAAACCCGCCTCAGTCTCCTTATTGAATCACCACGTATTTTTTAGCAGCCGTACGGTATCATTATCCGCCCTTCACTGGCCCCGTTTTGCAGGGTTACCTTCAACGCCTTACCTATTTTCTGCAGCTTTGCCATGCATACAAGGTCCTGTTTTCAACACATCTCGTTATACTCTTGTGCCGTCTGTGTGCGACGTGACCGATCAATCCAACATGGACGACGGTCAGCATGAAAACGCCATTGAGCGGCATGCCAACGCAGCCGAACAGACCCTCGAGAAGAGCGCCTCCCGCCAGCTGGAGCCTCAGCAATCTCGGGAACTGCGATTCCAAAACGACTTAGCACACCTTATTCCTAGGTACGGTCATGTTCCCATCGACGCTCAGGTCATTTATCTCAAGACTTACATATGATCCGCTCCAGCCGATGGTGGTTTGCATCTTCTGCCTTTCCCATGATCGCGGCGACACTTGGCCCCGTAGCCTCGGCATTCAGCATCTGCGCTTTGGGGTCAAAGTGGCGACTGCACATTCCCCCTGGCTCTAAGATTGATAATGCCACATTTGTAGATGATCCTGCTTGGTATGTTGGCTTAGAAGCCTATTAAGTGACGTTTTATGAAGAAATCTACGAGGAACGTCATCACTGACACGTCGTTTGCTACAGGCTGACAATTGTCAATGCAATTCAACTTGCGATGGCCCTCGTTTCCAATGCCTTCCTTTTGCTGAACATGACTAAGAGAGTTCGCTTTAGTATTGCGCAGCCCATTACTATACTTG